GAGATTGATTCAACCCTTGAGGGTTTATGCGAAGCAAGAAATCCTTAATGAGATTGACATAATCCTTAACTTCCTTTATGTCGCTCTGAACCTCAGAAATCTGGCGTCCTTGCCACACAACGACATCATCAAGAGTTTCTTCCACATCATCATGGCTATCATCACTAATGCCATACTTCTCATCAGGATCAATGTCTTGCTCTCCCGCCATCCCCAAAAGAACGTGCTGCTCCGATACCAATGAAACGAACAAGAGAGCGAACCCTAGGCCAGCCTCTCAACCCTTAAGGCGTTACAGCCTTAAATCTCGTGTCAGTATCTGGAGCCTGGAACTCTTCCCAGGGATGAGGCCTAGAGGACGCTCTTGCCAGGTGTTTAGAAGAGGTAACTTCGTGGGCAACGGAGCTGGCCGAGAAGTGGTGGTGGCGGAAGAGCTAGGAGCTTGCGAAAGATTTGTTTTTGGAGATGGATGATCTTTGGTGGAAGATGGAGATGGAGAGGGATTAACCGGTGGAACAAATGGAAGCTTTGGGCGAGAGAGTCTTATGTGCTCGTAGCGGCAGTGGCTGCCATAGGAGCAAACACCGCTCTGGTAAAACGTACAAATCTGAGAGGAAAAACGTCCGAGAAAAAACCAAGAACAAATTGAATTGGGATCGAACAATCTTACGTTGCTGGATGGATCGTCGAAGCTGTGGGAGAATTGGCAGGAATCGCCCTTGAGGCACGCGCCGTGGAGATAATACTTGGAGAGGATTCTACATCGGATCAATCGATAGCAGCAGTGAGCGAGAGCGCTACGAGCAGAGAAGAGCGGCAGTCACCAAATGTGGCCCTTGCATTCGATCGTGGCACTCGCATTCCCATCGCCACAGCGCTCGCCAAAGAAGTCGCATCGATGATGAGGATTTCGCTCAAGCTCGAAGTCCGGTTCATCACCATAGTCTCTGGCTTGATGTGTTTTTCACATTGCTCCTTATTTTTCTGGCTAGATCTCCCGCCAGGAATTGCTCAATCCCCTCTCCGGTTGGAATCAATCTGCACGCGCATTGGAGCAATTCGCGCAAGAATCGCAATATACTCTCATGATTTTCTTTTAAGAAACATTCCAGCTCAGAAGGTCTCCAACTTCAAACGAAATTCTCAGTACACTTTGTTTTGTCGCTGGCAACCCGAGTTATATATATACGTCCATTTGGAAGACAGATACTCGTGTAGAAGTGGTGGGGCCTAGAATCCCAACAAAATCCCGCCACGTGTACGACACTTCATCAGTTAATTGCCACGTCACCAGCTAAATATTGGACGGCTTGAAGATCGACGGCTTCGATTTGCCCACAGTGGACGGCTCAGATTTTGTATAAAAGAACGGTTCAGATTGTTTTAAACACACGGTCTAAAGTTTACATCTAAGGACGGCCCAGATTTTATCTAGCACATTGCCATGAAGAGGAGTCTTCCAGGGTCCATGTAACTTGGCATTCCTGAGCTTGACATCACGCCACCTGAAAGGAGAAAACAAAGGTAAGTCAAGAGAAACAAAGTAATGGAGTGAACAATTTGTGGGAGCTTGAGAGCTTCTTTAAAAGTTCCTAGATTGCTGACAATTGCAACAATGTCACTTCTGACAACTTAAAGCAGAAAGAAATAATAACAAACAACCTTCATCGTTTCCACTAGTGGACCAAGTTTGCGAATTACACTTAGAAAGCAAAATCTTGGGAGAGGAACAAATATTACCATCTGTGGCTTTCACGAGGTTTTCCATGTCAAAAAAAAAGGATTCAAGGAGAGAGAAAAGAAAAAAGGAAATTGGGGTTCATGATCGTCATGTGAAGGTCACACTTTTGTCTCCTCTTTGACCTCTTCAACAAAAGAAGAATCAGTGAACTATAGAAAAGGAAGTAAAAAAGAACAAACCTTGACTGCAGCTTGAAGTCGTCCACCGTCTCAGTCGAGTTGGAACTGGACACAGACATTGATTCCACTCTCGGCATATCTGCTCGAGGAAGATAAAAAAATAGAAGATCAGAAGTTTGACAAAACTGGAGGATACTTACTTCGATTCTCCTAACGATCAACTTCCAGGACGAAAAGGCGAAGCCAAGGACGAGAGCTTTCCAACAATCTTGCCGTCGGAGAAGCTGATCAAGTCCCGATGCACGCTACGAGGCGCTAGGGTTTTGAGGAGCCGTCATAAGTTCTTTTGTGAGATCCTCGCAACGTTCGTAGCTCAAACTCACTGCAGTGGAACAAGCTCGTGCCTTTGATGTATCAACACGAGGCGGATGAAATAGAGGCCACTCGAATCCTCCTCCTCTAGCGCCCAGAGTAGGACGGAGGAAGCGCTCGCCAATGCAGGGGAGCCACGCGCCAGAGAGTTCGTGCCCTTCATACGAAAACGACCAGACAGGAGAGATTCTTCCGACTGCGACAGCTACAACCAGGAAACCTTGCAGTTTCACGGCCATCTGACGAGCAGGTGGCAGAGCATGGGGCGGAGCATGGTACCGGGTATGGCATGTCCCATGGTAGATTTCTCGAGCGAGCATGAGTGCCTAAAGAGGACAATCCTTACAGTCTCGGTCGGCATGGCTTTACTAGAGTGGACAGGACGCGAGGCGGAGCGACATCACGCTTGACAGCTTTCAGAACTTCTGGGCAAGCAAGAGGGGCGTCGTCCTGGGGGCTCTTCCCAAGGAATGCCTGACCCAAGGAGTGACGGATGAATATGTGAAATCGTATAAAAAGCAGTGTAGTCTGTTCGTGGAGCTTGCCAAGGCTATAGCTGCTGCAGAAGGGGTGCTCGTCGACATTACGTGGGGCTCAGAAGGCGCTGAGGACCCTGTTTTTGAGGGAGGTACTCCAGAAGGCCAGACAGTTTCTTCAAAATCGGCGATACATGGATCGGTATAGAGTTGAAGAATACAAAGAGTCGTAGCCACAAGATTGCCGATGCCAGGGGATAGGTGGTTATTCTTGGTAACTTGTTGTGGAGGCGGAGAAGCAGATCCGAGCTGTTCTACACGTTCCAGAATGAAGTCCTTGGCCTTGTCGGGAACGGCATCGGCGTGCAATGCGTGAGGCAGATCCATGCTTATGGGCGGCGCGTGAAAACTTATGACGGGCCGCTGCTTCCACTTGCGAATGTGGATTGGATTCCTACGCGATAGACAAGGTGTCACCGTCTCTGGAGTGGGTGGCCACTGCTCTTTATCGGGTAGTGATGACCAATGCGTCCAACATGAGTGCTCGTGGCGAAATGGACCAGGACGGCTTCCACCGCAAATACGGCAGCCTCAAACTCCTGACCCGGGATCTCCAGCTTGCAAGCGTGACAAGAGTCGCCAAGGAAGTTATGGTAACTGTCGTGGGAGCTACCCGGAACAACAGGATATCCGTGGTTATGAAAGTCTTGTGGGAAGGCGAAGTGTGGTGAAGTTGGCCACAGAAGCAGAGGCACGCAGCAAGGCCCTTGAGGAACCTGACGAGCTCCCTACTGGAGGCTGGGAAAGGTGGTTCCAGACGGCCCCAGCACCGCGACGTTCGTGTCGATCCTTACGCCGGGCTAGAGTTCTTCGAATCGATGGAGCCGCGATTTGGGAGATGGAGCACTAAGTCGAGGATGGCGAGGAAGATGCCATTAGCGGCAAATGCGGTGATTGTGCTGGCGGCGTGTCGGAAGTGGCGGCGTGTGGAGATTGGCGAGGTTGCGTTTGAGGCTTTGATCGATCTGGGCGAGCGGCATGCTGCAATCTATCTCCTCATGGCTGGGATCTACGCGGGCGAGGGGAGGTGGGCGGATCGAGAGCAATGCGATCGTTGTTTCATGCAATCAATACCCAAGTTACCAGTTCAACCATGTGTGAAGGAAGTCAAACCGCGCCAACAGCAGAAAGATCGAATCCTTCACTCATAATTAAGAAACTAAAAAAATTTACGTCTCCCTGAACGATTCTTCAGTCAAGAGTTTCACGTCAACTCTCCGATTCCGGCTACGCTTTTGTATGCAGCAATCGGAGTGGCTCGCAATCCATAGCCACACTGGCTTCCCCGCCCTGAATCATGCTATCTCCTTTTCGCTCAGCTTCATGCAGCATATTTGTGGGGAGCACCTTCTGTTGTCCCGCCACGAAGCTCCAGCCAAGTCTGTTCACACCACAGGAAACGGAATCAAGAAAAGAGAAAGGACAACAACTCACTTGCGCAGTAGCGGCGGGTAAAGGTGCCGTCCGTGCTCCTCGATGAGAGATGTCACGATCGCAGTCCTGATTTGCAGAACCTCAAACTCATCACCAGGCACAGCAGCATCGCATCTTGAGGCAGCAATAAAGCAAGCTCTCCTCGTCGTGCACCACGTCCGTGGACCTCCCCCCACAAAAGTAACAATCCGGGGACATCTCCCAGTTGGGGATTTTGGGTATACCATACACCACTTCCAAACTTGGCCAGGCTTTGTCCACCACGCGTACCAGGCTCGAAAATGGACGACTGCAGGCCAGACACCCCAGTCTATCAAGCTGTAGACACCATCCTTGATAGACTTGGGCTGGAGATTTTAAACTGGTTTTAATTTAAGAAAATAGGATTAAAAGTTTTAAACCATAGTTGTTAAGAAAATCAATCACAACCATTTAAAACCTAGAATTCAAGCTATTAATAAAAATAGAATATGCTCAAACTCCCAATGAGCAAACCAAAAACACAAATTTTTAAACTTAAAAAATAATTCTTTTATTTATTGATTGCTATCTTGGGATCACCGTGACGAAGAACCGTACGACCTAATTCCCTAAAGGTCAAAACTATTTAACCTGGTTTTAGGGCTTTTCCTCTCCGCCACCTTTTCATCCAAAGCTTATGTTTAGAGTTCCGTTTCCGTGATCCAGGGTTTCTTTCTTGATATGTCGATGTGATCTTCCTCTTTTCTCGATGATCTCCATCTTTCTTCCTCGCATCTTCGCATATTCCAAGAAAAAAGGTGTAAAAAGAGGGTATTATTAAGCTAATTATTTTGGTTTATTGATTAGTAAAAAGGAGAGAAAAACCACAAAAAGGGGGGGAAAAACGAAACAAAGAGCCGGTTCTCATCACCTCGGGAATGACGCTGATCATAGCAGAGTTCCTCCGCTACAGCTTCATAAAAAAAAAAGAGAGAAGAAAACAAAAAGAGAGAGAGAGGAAGACCGAGACTCCATTTTTCTTTTTTGCGCTTCTAGAGTCGTCATGTACAGTGTCGTTGTGATGAGATTTCACACGTTGAGGATGACCGAAGCAACCTTGTCCTTCCTCTGGACGGCCTTGACCGCGGCCACTCTCGCAGCGTTTGCTGCTTTGTTCGCGGCCGCCACGGCCTTGTTGACGCGATCATCCACTCGCGGAACGTCCAGGGCTTTCTTCCCAGCTCGTCTCGCTTCCTGGAAGCAACAGCTCGATTAGATCCGATCGAGAAAGCTAAATCTTCGCACTTGGCTGCTACTAAGACTCGAAGAACTCGAAGAAAGAAGACGAGTTTGCTACTAAGACTCGAAGGACTTGAACAACGTGAGAGAGGAGTTTACCTGGACGACGTTGAGAACTTTGGCGTGGCTGACGGCCGTCGAGGAACCTGGAGCCGGGTTCAGTGTGCTGGGAACCTCCAATGCACCGCAGTTCCAGTGGCCGGCCTGCGTCTCGCCGTTTCGAAACGTGTAGAGTCCCAGGCCTTGCTTGCGGCCTTCGTGCCAGGCACCCTCGTACAAGTGCCCGTTCGCAAAGTGGTAGACTCCATAGCCATGCATCTTGTCGGCGAAGTACTCGCCAGCGTAAGTATCACCGTTCCTGGAACAAAGCCAAAAGAAAAGGTTGGAGGAAACTTTCTCGGACGATCAAGCTTACCTGAATCTGTAGTAGCCAAAACCATGCTTCATCCCACGCTTAAACTCCCCCACGTACCGACTTCCATCCTCGCAAGTCTGGACGCCATAGCCGTGACTTTGGCCTCCACACCACTCCCCGGAGTAGACATCTCCCGTGTAGAATCTGTAAACTCCATAGCCGTCTCTCAATCCTTGCCTGTACTGCCCCCGGTACCGGCTTCCTCTAGCCCAAGTCTCGACGCCATAGCCGTCATACTTCCCATCCACCCAGTCTCCCTCGTATTTCCCACTCAAGTAGAAGTAGTAGACACCACTTCCCGAGAATCTTCCCTGGTAGAACTCACCTTCATACACGTCTCCGTTGCTGTATCTCTGCACGCCTTCGCCAAAAAGCCGGCTTTTCTCGATCCTCGGCTTGGAACCGATGGTCCAGGTAATTGTCGGCCCACCAGCAGTAGCAGCCGAGGAAGAATTCGAGCACCTCTTGTCCCTGTGATCGTCCAGGAAAATCCCCAGCGGCCGCAGGAGCATCCCATTCAGCCGGCTGTGCGCCAAGATGGTCCGAAGCACGTAGAGCGAGTGCGACTTGGAGGAGACGAAGTGGACGAGAGCCACCCTCGCGCAGAAGGCCAGAGCCGCGAAGAAGAGCAGCATCGCGAGAAAATCCAGCCAGAAGCTCCCAGTGCTGGAGCCCGAGTAAGAAGAACTGGCACTGGTGGATAAGCCCAAGCTCGAGGAAGACGAAGATGGAATGCTCGTAAACTTCCAGTACCACCACACGAAAGGGACGAGGACGAGCACCACTGGAGGTAGCAAGAGCTGGAACTCAAACCGGGTGCCTCTTTGATGAAAGCCCACTATATCCTGTCCTCGCGGAGTCTGGTCGACCTCTGGCAAGAATCCACCGCCGCTACGCCCACCGCCACCACTACCACCACCACTACCGCCGCCGCCGCCACCTACATCGCTGCTCAAAGAGGAGGAAGAGCCCACTGTGAGCTCCGATAAGCACGAGAGGCTATCAATCCCGGCCTTGACAGTCGGCGAGCGGCACAGCGATGGAGAGCGTCCTATCTTGGAGATTATCAGAGATTTTCCAGTCGCCGATGGAGACTCGATCTCCATTCTTTCTTCTAGCTCTTGGATTTCCCCCTCAAGACACCATAATCCGCTGCCCTGTGCATCCTAGAATCCCTCTAGCTCCTCCTACCTCGCATTCTTGGCCGATGATCCAGCGCTGGAATCGTGGCAAGCTCGCGCATTCCAGGAGAGGGAGAAGCAATCAATCGATACGCACCTCCACTGTAGCAACCCTAAAACAACGAAGAACGATCGCGATTCGCGATTGCGTCGCCGGCTTGTCACTGCCAATACTGCCGCGCCGATCCAGGAACCCTAGGCGGCGACCTGCGCGCGCCAGGAGAATCTCTTGCGCGCCCTCGCGTTGCTCGCGAGTGATTCTCTCCCTCGTTTTTTTCCAGCAAAGAAAGAAGCTAAAATGGTAAGAAAATCCTCTTTTCACCTGATTAGTAAAACCGTTTGCCACTTAGCGGGGTGAATATGCCGCGGAACATGCTCTCAATTATGCCGCTTGCCAGCGTGGCCGATAGCGACTTAAGATTAATCAATATGATTGGATGGTTTGGAAGAAATTTTTCTCCTACGTTTTGTATGCGTTGGTTGATACTATCGACCTGGGCCTACTTTCTAAGGTTGAAAGAATCTAGGATTCAAATAATAAGAATATCTGATCATCAAAGGTTCCATATAAAATATCTACTGGTAGTATACAAGTTTTATAATAATATTATAATGTAAAGGTTAACTAAAAGATAACACAAATTGGCCTTTAAGCCCTTGAAGAGAGAATTAGGGCTTTAGGTTTCTAGCATGGCGGGAGGCGATGGCTCAGGTCAGTGTGATGGGATCCATGTCCTTTTCCTGGCGGCGCATTCCTAGCTATTGCAATCTTCGCAGTGGACAGGCGCCTCACGGATTTGGAGAAGACGCAATTGCGGCGCAACAAGTTCGCGCTCAAGATTGGGTTTGGCCTCTTTTTCGCTGTAAATATCGTCTTGATTGGTAAGTATTTGCATTTCTAGGGGTTGTTCTTTCGAATTTTATATTTTTTGGAGCAGGGCATGCTTTAGTGACTGATCCAAAGTCTGTTTATTCGCCGGATCATCACACCAATCTCCGGAAACAGAGATTGGCCGCTAGAGAAGCCGAGAAAAATCTTCAAGACTCGCAAAAACCTCTCGGAGACTCGCCACAAGCCGCAAGTTAGAATTCTTTGCGAGGTACGTATGACTTCTCCTCTCCAGTTTTACTTTTTCCCTGGTTTTGTTCTTGATGCCATATTCAGGACTGCGAACTCGACGTGAAAATCACTCTTTACATTTTGTCTCAGAGCTTTGGAATACTTTTTTCGTTTTCTCAATGGAGGGATTGCGGGCTTGCTTGAAACTTCCTCTCTGGATTGGAACTTGTAAGATACACCAGGACCTTTCTCGATCAAAAGTTGCGACATGGGGGCTACCTTCTTTTTCTAAAAGAAAAATGGATGGACCCAAGCCTGATGATCCAATCCTCCTAACGTTTTTCACATATCCAAGTAACCATTGCGAGCTAGCACTTTTAAGAATTGTTCAGAGTTTTCAATTGTGTCACAAAAAAGGATGTACTGGCAGGAGTTTTTTGTTTGAAGTGTTATACAAGGAATTCAACCATTTTTGTCCCAAAACTTTTGGAGATTTTTTCTTTCTTTAGATCTTCGCCATATCCAAAATAATTTTAAAAGGAAAAGATTATACGCACCAACAGAGGACACAATGTATTGCAACAATGGGCTCTACAATTTTTTTTTTTTCTTCTCCCTCAAAGAAGTATCATGGCCTTTTCGTGGTAAAGAGCGGCGAAACCATCAAAACGATTCTAAACTTGTTGTGCAAAATTTGATATCGTCATGAAATGAGGTCACAAAAAACAATTCGTTTTCTAGCCTGATGTCTGCAGAGTAACACTTTTAAAGATTTTCTTACATGCATTCTTTTGATCGATCGTGCCAGATGCAAAAGTTTAACAAAAACTCAGGAACGAATATTCTTGACCAAACCAGCGAGCATTTTTCAAACGTGGAAACCTTGCCTTTTCCATGAGGAAACCCTAATTTCAAGGTGTTCACTGCCAAAACGGGAAAGAAAGATTGGTTTTTTCACACAGAGCTCCAGAACAGGTACACATATGTCACCATCCTGTCTGTGTGTTTGTTTGTGCTTGTTTGACTGAGCTCTTTTTGACCAAGTCTCTCTAAATTTCTTTCCAGTAATTCTTTTATTTTCAAAATTGAAAATAAAAATTTCTGCTTCAGCTGCTCTGCACAATGCAAATGCAGGTCTGCCACAGACCCCTGGCTGCAGTCTGAGGAAAAATCACCTCCTCCTCCCATCCATCCATCCATCCTCTCACTTTCATACTAATCTCTTGTTAATTTCCATGCCTAGTGGAAAGCAAGTGCCCCTCCCTCCCTCCTTTTTTTTTGTTCCTAGGCCCAGCACAGACAAACAGATGGCAGCAAGAAGGATTCAGGAAAAACAGCAGCTTTCCTATCTATGCATTTTTAAAATGTTTTTTTTTGAGGGGTGTTTTTGTTTTGATGCGGTCCAGTGCAATGGATCATGGGCTGCTAACACCTCTCCTCAGATGAGTCAATCAAGCATTGGCAGCTGTAACATCAATCCAATCTCATCAGGAAGGATTGCAACTGGGTGTCAATTTAAAAAAGAAAGGCTGGTTTGCATCCTGTCCCTTGATTTGGCCCACATCCGACGGCGGTTCCAAAGATTCCTGTTTCTCGAATTCGTGGCCTTGGTTTCAACTTGAACGTCAAAACAAAGCCAGCCAGCCAAGGAGAAAAGGTCCCACGTTTCCAGATTCTCCTGCTGCTCGATGCATGGACGGGGCATATTCCCAGTTCCAATAGATGAAATCATTATAACTGGAGAGGCACCTCCCCAATTATGAAGTCAGCTATAGCTTGCTAGAGTCGTCTGGAAAGCAAAGAGAGAAAAGAGAAGAAGAAACGTACATACAAATCGTTTGATGATTGACATTATGTGTGCGGTTCCTTCTGGAAGCCTGAGGTTTAAGCCTGGCAATTACTCTGTCTTAAGAAAGAGATCAGGAGATCAGGAGCTCACCAGATGAATCATTCCATTTGCAGCTAATTTGGAAAAGGAAATCACCCACCTAAACTTAGCGTTCACCCCCAAGTTGTTCTTCCAGATAAGTTTGTCTGTATTGTTTGCTCCTGTTGGCTGACAGAGACCTCATATTTGGAGACCCAAAGAGACCTGAGAGCTGTTGTAGCAAAAGAAAAAAGAGACCAGCAGGGATTAAAATACAGCAGGCAAGCAAGGCAAGCAAATCACACCTCCAAGAAAAACAAAAATCTTTGATAACCAGCAAACACATCACATGGGCTGTTTTTAATCCCTCCTGGCAAGAAACACCAACAAAGAGGTATAGAAGATACATACCTCTCATTGGAGAGATCTTGGAGCAGCAGCAGCAGCAGCAGTAAGCATGAGCCCAGTGGTAAGTTTTTCTCCAGCAAGGAAGTAAGACTTTGGTCACTTTGGCCATGTGTTTGCTGGCTGGCTGGCTGGATCATGTCATGTCATTACACTCTGGCAGCAGAGAAATTCCCTCCCTGTTCACAATCATAGACTCTTTTGATCCATCTCTTGTTTGTTTACAGCACCTCTTGTTCAAGGACTGAGAAAGAGAGGGACGAGCATTAGATTAGATTAATTAGCGGCATATAAAACGATAAACGAGTGAATAAAACAATGGAAGCAGACATACCGAGAAATACCTCTGTATAGTGTGTGCGCGCGCGCATATCGCTATGCGGTGTGTGTGCCACGATGATCCAGCCAACTTGTTGCTACACCAAAGTCAAATTGCTCTCTGTGCACGACGGCATCATCACGCGGGGACGCGGTAAAAGATGGTGGGCTGCACTGTCTGCTGGCTGTTCAAACCAAAGGCAAGACTCAAATTGATGAGCACGGAAAAACTTACGGCCGGGCCGAAAGTCGCTCGAGCCATCTAGTCGGTCGATGATCTTCCAGCCATCTAGTCGGTCGATGATCATCTTTGCGTTGGACCAGAGGTGGTAGGCAAGCAACAGTGGTGATCACCAGGAACGAACGCTCTCCTGGAAAGAAGAGAAAGAAAAGCAAGGATTCTTAGAGTTTGATTAAGTCTTGAGAGACTAAACTTACGTGCTTGTCGCTCTGGCGATGTCGGCCCATATGTCGCTATTCATGAACAGGAACAGTGCTGCTGCTGCTGCGGTGCTGAGCTAGTGCTGCGAACTTGAACGATTCCTTCCTTCTCGGCCAATATATCCCACAAATCTGGTCCTCTTTTCTTTTCTTCCGCTGGCTGCCTAGCGTTGAGCGCTCGGTCTCATGAACCAAAGGGACCCATCCGGAACACCACCTGCGCGACACGCTACCTCAAGCGGAGGACCCGGCGCTGGATTTCTTTGATTTTTCAATCCTGGAGGGCTCTTGAAAGCCAAAGCTTTTGTGGAGCGTCCTGTCTTGCTTTTCTTCTTTTGCTTCCGCTTTCGATAACTCGTTGTTCTTTCTCCGCTTCCCTCCTGTTGTTATGTAGTATATTTTTCGAGAGAGCTGCAGTCTCTCCATTTTTCTCCGCTCCAAATTTCTCGTTGATGTGTACGAAGCCCCTTCTTCTTCTATCATTTTCTATTCATGGCTCGGGGCGGTCTCAGTCTCGTCTGAGTTAGTTTCGCTGCTTGGCTCGTCCGCTCGCCTCGCTCGATCGCGCTTGTTTTCTTTTCCTCTTTCCTTTTCTTTATGGTTTCTTTTTAGTACTCGCAACTTCTTCGCCCGTTGGTCGGACAGTCCTCTCCTCGTTTTGGCTTTTCTCCAAATTTCAAGTGCTTCTATTTCCGCTCCTCGCCGCATATAATATCACCCTCACATTCTTTCTGTCCGCCGCTCCATGCAAATTTCCTGAAACCCAACGAAAGCCCATCAGCGGAGTGAGCACTTCCAAAGCAAAGTAGCTATGCTATATAGTTCTCTCTAGGCAGCAGCCTCTCTCACATCACTCACAAGCGCAGAGCTAGAATTTCAGCGAAGTCTGTCTGTACCTTGGTGGAGCGGAAGCAGCACTTGGAGCAAAGCAGCTCGCTCTCGCTCTCGTTGGTGCCTTGGAAGTGTTAAAAAATCCGCCTTGTTTGAGCAGTAGCAAGAACCGAGGTAATAGGTGCTATGGAGTGACCGTCGTCCATGTGCGGCCTCGTGCAACACTGTTGCTGTTGAATCCTACACGTGCACTCCCAGTTGTTCATCTTCCCGTTTGCTTGTGGAGCTATAGCCTGTGCTCATATCCCCAAATCATCACCTCCCTTTCCTTCTTCTTCTTCTTCTTCTTCCTCTCTCTCTCTCTCTCTCCATCTCCATCCTTGCAAATATCAATCAAGAGTCCTGGAAAAACAAATCGCTGAGAGAGAGAGAGAGAGCGTGAGTATAAAAATGCGTGGCTTTTTTTTATGTACCACTCACATCAAATCACTGAGAGCTGAGCTGCCCGATCCTGCTGCTCCTGCTGCTGCTGGCTGGTTATAGACCTCGGTAGATGCCTCTCCACTTCAAGCTGTAGAAAAGGAAAGCCGGGTCTTCAAAGCTGTGCTTCTTGTACTTCATATATTCGGCTCTTGGTCGCGTTTTTAAGGAGAGAATCACAACAGGCCGCTGCTGCTGCTGCTACTGCCGCCGCTGCTGCTGCTCCTCCTCAAGCGTGTATCTCTAGCTCTTTCGTTGCTACCTCGTCTCCTCCTCTTCTCCCCACTCTCTCGCTGCTCTTTAAGTTTGAGAGGTAGAGCTACAGTTGAGCCTGATCTGAGTTGAGGCCGAGAGTTTTCTTCGATTTTCTGCTCCAACGTTGCAGCAGGTACTTGGTTTTGTTTCCGCAGGTCATGGGTCTCTCACGTAGGCCGGAGAATGCAGGGAATTCTCAGCTTTGATGGTCAGTTCAGTCCAGGGATAAATAACAGTCTCATAGTAGGAGGGTTGGAGATGAAAACGAAGAGGAAAAACTCGCTCTTTTGGCCAGTCCTAGAGCGCGACAGCAGCTCCCGCATTTTCTGGTAGCAAGAGAGCACACTGCAGCAAAGGCAAAGGGTTAGTACAAGCTAGAAGATAGATAGGAAAGCATGGATCCAAGCAGGCTTGGTCGTTTACCTCCTCCATTCTCGTTCCAGCCAATGCAACCCCTCCAGGAGCACGACCACGGGCAGCAAGGTCCCTCCCTGCACAACTCGGAAGAGGATGAGTACAGCAACAGCAGCGGCCAGAACACCATGACTCCAAGCAACAAAGGGAATGGAAACAACAAAGGCATGAGGAAGGGAATGGGGAACAAAGCCATGGGAGAAGCCGGCGAAGTTGTCCGCAAGCCCCGAGGCCGACCACCCGGCTCCAAGAACAAGCCCAAGCCGCCGATAATCATCACCCGTGAAACAGGAACTGGCATGCGTCCACACGTTCTCGAGATCGCCTCTGGTTGCGACGTCCACGAGTGCATTGCAACCTTCGCACGCCGCAGGCAGCGCTCCCTGTGCGTGCTCGGCGCCAGCGGTACAGTCTCCAACGTGACGCTGCGGCAGCCGACGGTACCACCCGGCGGTAACTCGGCCTCGGTCTTAACTCTCCACGGACGCTTTGATATCCTCTCCATGTCCGGCACCTTCATGCAGCCCACGGCACCGCAGCCTCTCATGCCAATGCCGCTGCCGCCAACTTCGTCACCGTCTCTTTTCGGCGGTGGTGGTGGCGGTGGTGGTGGCGGCGGAAGCAATGCTTCTAGTCCGTCCAGCATGCCAACTTGTCCGAGCTCCGGACTCACCATCTCCATGGCCGGAGCGCAGGGACAAGTCATTGGAGGACTAGTCGTAGGGGCTCTCATGTCCGTAAGTCCGATACTGGTGATAGCCGCCTCCTTTCTCGGACCTTGTGCAGAGCGCTTGCCTCTGGACGAGCACGAGCAGGATCAGCACGGGATGCTGAACGGAAACAATGGAGGTGGACCGGGTCTTCCTCCACACCACTTGGCTTTAGCCGCTGGAGGGTCGGGAGGTGGTCCTTCGGCAGGAATGGGTCCTGGCAGCGTCCCCAATGATCCTTGCGCCATGTCTCTGTATAATCTTCCGCAGGTGTCGCTGGGAAACCAGATAACTCCAGATATCCTGGCTTGGGCTGCTGCAGCTGGCGGAAGGCCCCCCTTCTGATCATTCATCGTCTCTTCTTTCGCTTCATAATCTTCTCTAAAATTCGTTCGTGCTGCTGCTGCTGTTGTTGCTGCTGCTGCTGCTTCCTGCTGCTTTCTCCGAGAGTTTCTTCACTGGGAGCTAAAGATCACTAGCTCTCAAAACCAGATTTTTTCGTCTTGTTCCATCTTTTCGGACACCTGCACCTGCAACAGCGAACGATTTTGTCAGAGGCTCTGGAATTTTCACGAAACTGGCACGTACCTCCTGATTCGGCGTTCCTCACATTCATGCGGTACGCTGAGCTTTTTTTAATCTCTTTCACTTCCTCTCTTCAAAGGCCTGCTGCTAGAAATTCGGCTGCTGAAGGAAGCTGTACAAGCTCGATTTGAGTTTCCAGCAGCTCGTATGCTGACTTCACTGCGCGTACGTGTCTACAATTTGATCCCGAAGATTCAAGTTTCTGCAAGCCCGGAGCGAGGCTCACTCTAGCTAGGCCGTGGACTTGCTCGAGACGACAAATCTCCGCTCCATTGGACAAGAAAGGAGCTGCTCGGAATGCTTGTATAGATTGCTGAGATAATTGCTCCTTCCTTTTCCCGCGTATCACTCCTCGCTGTAGAAAGCAAAAAAGAAAAAAAAAAAACACAAAGAGAGCAAAATATCTGGTTAATTGTCATCTGGCCATGAAAAGAAAAGAAATCAACTTTCCCCGCGCATTACTCCTCCGTCCAGCAGCAAAAGATGAAAACTTTTACGTGAGATTAGATCTTGCATGCAATCTTATAAAGAGAGATCCGGAGCAGCATTGCAAAAATGGACTCGAGATTCTCTTTTCGCTCAGAAAATGGCTTGTCCATACCAGCCCGTTCGGCGAAAGAATTCGACCAACATTGGCCATCGCTGCCGAGACGTGGACAAGACAGAGTGATGGCTCTATTTCTCATCGTTGCGTCTTGGCACACACGTTCTCCCTGCCACAAAATGCTTGGCTTGTCTTGAGCTGGACAGCAAAATCTTCTTCCTTTTCCCAGTCAAGCCCCCATTACTACAAAGTTACTCGGCCTTACCACGATTCGTTTTTGCAACTGCAGAACCCCCCCACGCCGTGTTGGATCATTCATTTCCCACTGTCTCTTTCCCTGGACATTTTGATTCTGTGTTCTCCTCCTTAACTCCTGATTGTAACTTCCTTGTGTGAAAAAGACCCGCTCTGTGCTGCTGCTGTTCTCTGGTGTGTTGGCTTTTCTTCCCATCTTCCCCTGTTAAGGACTCGAGAACGGAGGCTGCCTGCCTGCCTGCCTGCCTTCACTCATGCCGGCCTGGAATTGCCACTTTGCATGCAGCCTTGGATACTTTGCTAGTAACGCTCCAGAGGATGTTCTAGAAGTGCACTTAAGCCCACAGAATAGACCGCTTAAACTGGCTTTGCTCCCTCCCTGTAAGGAAACACAAAGCCTTTTGGTTAATGGGATTCCACATCAAAAGAACGGAAGACAACTTGCCTCTTGCGCAGAGCGGACGGAAAGTAAAAAGGAGAGAACTTTACATCGAGTGCCAGGCCTCCCACCAAATATTTGACTGCCGAGTTTGGACCTACATTGACAAAAATGTATCTGCTTAGCTCCCACACACAGATCTACCTATGGACACGATGTGTTGGTGGCTTCCTCTCGCAGGGCATCCTCGGCTTTTATTACCCCCTGCAGGAAAGCGTACATCAGTGGTGAAATTAATATAATCGACAAAATCTCAGCCCCTCACCTGAAGAATAAGGATGGCTGCCGTCTTATCTAGGACTTCATTATATTCGTCACATGAAAAGTACTGAAAATCCAGAGCTTTAGCAGCAAAACAAACAGTGTCGCTACTATTACGCACCTGAACGCAGTTTGGGCAACCAGTGTTCCCAGTACAGTCACAAGACATCACTTGTTCCAATGCCGCCTGGAGTAACTCCGCAAAAAGTGGCTGCGCCTGTAATACAAATGCAGGTTAGAAGGAGGCGCTTGAACTGCTAAAGATTTTTCACCTGAGCAGAAATCCCGATGCCACCCGGACAACGATCGAAGACAAGCAACCTTACCGGATAATAACGTTTATCTTGGGGGTGAGCACAGTCTGTACCGACGTCTGACGGGTTGCACATGATATATCTGCAAGAGAAAGTTGATTTTCAAGCCTCTGAATCAGGAAAACTTACAGCGGAAGGACGTTTAAGAGTGCATGACAGGCTGAGTGAAGGCCAGCTCGCAAATCAAGACATTTGGCCTCAACAGCTTCCTTGACTTCATTGGGAACACGAATCCAAGCCGCCTATAATGCAGACTCAAGTCGGAAGTCCTTCCACGCTCAAGTTAAAATTTCACCTGAGAATCGTACGAAACGTCTGGAAGGTGAAGATCAACTGAATCGAAAGTTTCATTCGAAACTTCCCAGATCTTTCGAAATCCAATCCAGGACGTCGTTATTTGGCACCTGTTCACTTGTGCACTCGTGAGCCGGTATTTGACATCTGAGGCTCTTTTTGGATAAGTCTGTTCATCTTCGTTCGTTAGCTTTCAGAAGGGATTCGCGAAGCTAAGCTTACCAGTTCACTGCCGACGACGTGCACGTCGGTGTAGTCTCGAGTTTTAGTATAGTACTTCACGTCTGTTGGACGGCAGAAAGCCAACCTTTCCGTCAGGTTTAACCTGTTTACCAAAAACTTTTTTCCCTGATTTATATATACAGCACCTTCGTAAATCTGCAAAGATTATCCTCGTAAAGCTTTAGCATGACGATATCAGCTTTGAAACCTGAAAGAACGCTCTATTTGCTTCCACTTCTTCAATAACCTTGCTAGTAACCTCATCGACAATAGAATACTTGTCTGGATCGATCGCTCTGATGCTGAAGGTAGCCGAGGGTAGCTTCTGAAATGACAACACAAATGAGAGTTTCCCATATGTAAAAATACGTACAGCTTCTCCAATATAAGTCCAGGAATTGACGATTGAGCAACTCGGATGACGGGCAACGCATCCCCTTCCGACAAGCTCCGATATTGCTCCATCCAAGCTGGTACTGAAATAATCTTCATCGTAGACACTATGCAGATGATGTTCAAATGCTGCGCACGTCAGATGCTGTCCCAGGACCTGCACCGAGAAAACATTTTCTGAAAATGTGTCACTGTCATCTTTTATACCTGTGGATTGTGAGAATCAATCTGCGCGTTTTCAATGGGCCTCGAAAATAGTCTCAAAGGTTCTTTAAAGAAATGCTGGTCTAAAGGCCCTTCAAATGCCACGTAAATTGATAAGGACGTCTTCTCCCTTCGGCCAGCTCGTCCTGCTTGTTGCCACAAGCTGCAAACACGATCAGGCCATAGTCACGCTTTTAAACAGTCTCACCTTGCCACTGTACCAGGAAAGCCAAGATGCAGCGTGGCATCCAGGCTTCCAACGTCAATGCCAAGCTCCAAAGCGCTTGTTGCGGCCACACCACGGAGCTTTCCTCCAAACAGATCCTTTTCGATGCGTCGCCGTTCCTGTCGAAAAGAACCTTATGAGATATTTGAATAACGTTGTCACGACCTCTGGAGTGTAGCCCGCGCGATACGCTTGAATAGTGTGGACTAAATCAGGCGCAGTTTCTTTTAAAACCCCATGACTGCAAAACTGATGTCAACCATAATACTCAAGAGCAAAGGATAATTTACGTGTATGCCAAAACAAGCTCGCAAAGTTTACGAGTCTTGCAAAATGTTATGCACCGTAGTCCATGTTGCACCATTTCGGCAAAGAGATACGCAACCTCTAGAATTGGGCTGCAAAAGGGGCAAATGCGTAAACCTTTCAAAATGTCAAGAGCTTGCACCTGAACCGCTTGGTTGGCTTGTCGTCTCCAGGATCCTTGATCCCCCGGACTGGAGGATTCCAAAGTAGGAACAGCTTTTCACCGCATGGGCTTCCATCCTCAGCAATGGACGTGACCTCTCTCAGGCCTGTAAGCTCCTAGAACAAAATAAAAGAGATGAAAAAACGTTGTTAACTTAACCAACAAGGTACCATTGTGTGCTCCCTTGGGTTTGCTACTGTGGCGCTGCAGACGATAAAGGTCGGCACAGTACCGTATACTGCAAAACAATGCCGGTAAACGCCAACAAAAGTATACGCAATAAAAGAAAACGAACGATGAGCACATATGCGCCGTAACCGACGTATGATGAGAGCAACGTGACAACCAAAAGCTCCTCGATACGCATGAGCTTCATCAATCACTAGGTACCTGGACGATACACGTAGTTAGACAACAGACTAAAGCCATCCCGCTTACCGGAGGTTTGAAAGAAATCGTGCAAATTGTTTATGGAACGGCAAAATCGAGCAGTGAAGCATGTCCGGATTAGTTATCAGCTGAAGTCAGGTGCAAAAGATTAAAGCATATATCAGAGAGAAACTTACGATTCTGGCCTTCTCTCGTAAAGTTTGCCTTTCAGCCTGATTCGTATCGCCGTCATACACTCCCGCCGTTATATCATTTGAGAAAGCTAGCAAAGCCCGTAATTGATCTTGGGCTAAGGCCTGGAAAAGGATAATTCTTGAGCTAGATAAAAGAACACCGTGGACTTGCCTTGGTTGGAAACAAATACAAAGCACATGTTTCAGTGCTGCGTAACATAGACTCCAAAACAGGAACGTTGTAACACAAGGACTTCCCGCTTGCGGTAGAGGTGGAAACTACAATGCTTTTGGACATCAAAGCGGCATCCACTGCCAATGCCTGCAAAAAGGACGAATAAGAAGAAACGGACATTGTTTAGAAACTTCTTTTGGTTTGTCCACCTGGTGTGTATAAAGTCTAGCAACACCAATGTTCTTCAAAGCAGTTTTTGTAGCATTTGAGAGCTCACCTTGGAGCATACCAAATTCAGCATCTCGGCATTTCAATCTTTCGCAATGAATTATCTGTAACACTTTCCGCGTAAGATACATTGAAGTGAAAAACAAACTGACCTGGCCAGATGTTCCTAGCACTTCCTTCAAATGCTCTACCATTTCAGAAGCTGATAGTGTCTTGACATCCTGCTGAATCAAACTCAGATAGAAAACAGAAAATGCTCTCGAACAGACCTTGCAATGCTCTTGTCGTCGATTACTTGAAGAACCTGAATTTGCACGCCGTGGGACTGTGCGTGCATATAGAAGCGGACCTGTTCTTAAAACTCCACCGGGAACACGAAGCTCCTTTGCATATGAACGCATTTGCTCCAATGTAACATCAGACTCGACGCCAGTGTTTGCCTGCATTGCAAGTAAATTCACATCGTCAGGAGAAGACACCCATACCCGTATGTTTGAAATCATATCGTTCACAGCGTAATCGAAGGCTGCTTTTCTTCTCTGAATCAGCTGCGTCAAAGCACTGTCCGACATATTTCGTTTACCATGACAGGACTTTGGAAAAATTTCCATGGTAATAGACACGTCCTGAGATTCGTCTCCTGTCATAGATTTGACCACTATCACCTGCACGAATGAAGACAAAGAATGAGTGAAGTAACGATTTGCCGATCACTTCACCTTAGGACAAATAAAAGCAAGATCTTTGATGTCCGCAAGAGTCACAACTTCGTCAATGTTTGTGCATGAATGCTGCAAAGCACTCTTGACAGATGCCCACGTAAGTTCGATCCGGTTCTTCTCCAGAAATCCACACACAGAATTTAGAGCGTTGAAAACTCTCTCCATCCTTTGGAGTGATGGAGGATACTCGGAAGAACTCTCTCCTGAATTCCTAGACTGTTTCCTTCGCTTGCTCGAGTCGGGAGGAACCGCAACACTGGCGCTGGAACTTACATTCTCCACTGGAGCATCGGACGAAATTTTCCTTCGGGCGTGAGGCACACAGGCGATGAAATCTTCGTCTTGCAGCAACAGCGATGAGATCGGCGTGCTAGGGCTGAGATTCACTCCCTGCAAGCGCAATCCCTCGAAATTCATTCACACCCTGGAAATTTCTCGCTTACCTTGTGGATCAAATGGAATCGCTGCGCTGCGGCTCCATCGTCTAGCATTGGCCACTTCCTCGCGCTGAGAAGATCCCTGAGCTCCTGGATCGTCTTCGCAGCAGCTAGAGCGACGAGAATGCTCTGCCCGTCGAGCGTTTTGATGCGCACCAGTGCATCGTCGTCCATAGCTAGGGCTTTCGTTAGAACCCTAGCATTTTCCCGCGCAGAACTTAGGGATGAAAATCTGGGCACTCGCTGCCGCGGCCGCTGCCATTCTCGCGGCGATCGTCTCCCAGTACACGCTGTGCAGCCATTTGCTGCTCTCTAGGCTAGGGATTTGCTGGTTAGGATCATCAGGAGTAGCAGTAGCCCCAGCTAGAAATCTCTCGCTTCTCTGGATGGCGCCGTTCTTCTCTCCCAGCGGCTATGGCTCCGAGGCGCTCTCCTACGTCCAATCCCTCCGGGGCGGTGAAATTTCGAAGATCAAGATCGTCCAGCACGGGGATCTGGAAGATTATCAGTACTGGAATGGGCTCCCTCGCGAGACAAAGAAACTGCTGCTCAGGATGAATGGGGAAGAAATCCAGCTCAGGGAATCCATAGTCATCTGTCACAGCGAGCCGGGAGCTTGGTTTCCACCGCTTTTCTCGACGGTTCCATGCCCGCCTGGTGATTATCGCGAGCCTCTCTACGTCATTGGCAGGACCATGTTTGAGACCGATCGCCTGTCTCTCGAGCACGTCAAGCGCTGCAATGCCATGGACGAGGTATGGGTTCCTTCACAGTTTAACGTGGAAACGTTTGCTTCCAGTGGAGTTTTACGCTCCAAGTTGGTCAAGGTGCCTCAAGCGGTTGATACGCATTTTTTCGATCCTGGGCGAGTCACTCCACTGAAACTCTCCACAGCAGGCCGGGTTTTGGGTCGAGGTTCCGAGGATTCGGAGTTTCTGGCAAGAAGTAGCTTCGTTTTTCTCAGTATCTTCAAGTGGGAGACTCGGAAAGGCTGGGACGTTTTACTACAGGCATTCTTGGAGGAGTTTTCGGCCGACGACGACGTTGCTTTGTATGTGTTGACGAGCTCCTACCATTCGGATGGCCATTTCGGTGACAAAGTTTTGGAGTTCACGCGAGCGATGGGATTAGAAGAGCATTCCAGCGGCTGGCCTCGAGTTTACATCCGTGACGCGCACGTCCCACAGGTTGATCTTCCGCGTTTGTACAAGGCCGCCAATGCTTTCGTGCTGCCGTCTAGAGGAGAAGGCTGGGGGAGGCCTCACGTCGAGGCCATGGCTATGGAACTGCCAGTGATTGCGACCAACTGGTCAGGCTCCACGGAGTTCATGACGCCCGACAACAGCTACGGTCTAGCAGTGGAGAGACTGAGCGAGATCAAAGAGGGAGCTTTCAAGGGACATAAATGGGCCGAGCCGTCCGTGAGCGAGCTACGGAGCCTGATGAGGCGGGTGTTCACGTACCGCGACGAGGCAGGAGCTAAAGGCGTACAAGCAAGGAAGGATATGGTGACCAAGTACTCCCCTGAGAAGATTGCCGACGTGATCATCAAAGAATTACTCCGCATGCAAAAGCAGCGTAAGTTTTTGTGATTTCGTTTGCATTCCAGAAGTTTTGACTCTGTTTACAGGTGACAATCGCATGAACGATAATTGGTCGGTAGCTTTGTGAGATCTCATTCGCTAAGCCGGGTGTAATTTCAAGCCATGAATTTCTATGAAACTTTCCGTGATTGTGACCAGGTGGTCGCAATCACGACCAGAATGTCTCCGTGAGCAAGGGAGCCTATACGAAGGACTTCCAGAAAGTCCCGGTAACTTTTGATTCTTTCTCTTCAGAAAGTCCTTTTCAAATTTGACAATCTCCCCGTGCAGAAGCTGTATATTCACAGAAGAAGTTCCACAGACCAGCCAAAGAGAACCTGTCAACCATATTACCAGAACTTCTCACCTCGTGTAAAACTGTAGCTCGGTATTTTGTTTTGACATCGTATTTTAATTTTTCCAGGAGTTCCCATATGAATCAAGCCAAGACGACCTGACGATGACAGACTATCCTGCTAACATCAAGCAAATCACATGTATATGGGCATCAGTACGATCAAAGTGAGTGGTGTTTCAAGCACGTAACTTTTACAAATCTCTGGCACGTTGTTTTCGCATTCGCTTGCAACCACTACTTTCGACTTTTACAGGACGCCTACGTATCATCTGTTTTCATTCACACATGATGGTGAATAGCCGAAATCTTGGTGGTGGAGCAACGCTTGAGATCTTGGGCGGTGATACATCGAGCTCTTGGGCGCCACAAAACAGGTATCTTGCACATAACACATGCTCCAGGTGCGAATAGTGTCTCCGAGAGACTTTCTTGTGTGTTTGCGTCGATAGATTGATAGATCTGCGTGAGCCGAAAGGCTGCGTAGGTAATCTATTCACTTCCCTCTCCTATAGCTATCTTTTTGACTTTTGACTCTTTTTATTTTTATTTTTTGGGTGGAGTTTTGACAGTTTTCTTGGGAGGACAGAGGCAGTGCATATGTGTTGCCTCTCAGATGCCCGAAAATGCCATCTGTGTTTGATCGGGCGGAACGTCACCTTCGTTAGGTATGAGCCACTTTTATCTAATTAGGAGATAATCGGGGATAGCTCTAATCGAAGTGCGAAGATGGCAAAAGCCTGCATTAGTAGCAGCCTGGAAGGAAGCAAATAGCAAGAGATGCTTTTCAAATTAGATGCTTCTGCATGAGATTTGTAGTTTGAAACTTGCATTTTACATACATCACTCTTATGTTTCATGATGAAATAGTATATACTTGCACACTCAATTTGAAGTTAAAAGATATATATGTTGAAAGATTCAACAGTGTGTGACGTGGACAAATTTAGGTTAGACTTCCACCACCTTGCTGAAACTTCTCCCCGGGAAATTTTGTAAAAAGAAGTGGAGTTTACATCGTAGCATACGTTTGCACGACCCAGTATCACATGCCTTTGCCGCTGGCAACAGTACCACTACGATACGATCTCGATTTGCCGCTTAAAGTAATGGCAATGGAATCTTTCTCATAGACTATCCCTAGAATATTCAGTCAGTTGAACTGAAAAAGGACACCACATACCGTTAACCCAAAATAAAAGGGCAAACACCAATAGAATAAGGAACGGCCACGATCGCTCCGGCGCATCTGGGCCGTCCGCAAGATTGTCCACGCAATAGAAAGGCATCTGTGCCGTCGGTGGCCGGATCTAACGGCTGCTGTTGCGCCAGGGCGATGTAGCTGGATTTTTCACCACTTGTTTGGTTTGTTTGTACGTATGCCCTGGGCGCTGCTTCTTCATAACTGTGTGCCCTCCATCCCATGGGCGCTCAAAGGCTTGCTTCTTCCGGGCTCTCTCTTGTCATTCCAACGAGTGGAAGATCTTGATCCATATCCTAGGGTTTTGATCTCCGGCCGAGTCTTGGATCCCAGAGATTGGCGCCGGGAGTGGCGCCTGGAAGAGATCGGCTCGGGTAACAGCGTCTCCCTTTTTCCTCGGTAGCGGCTAGGATTCTGATTGATTTGCGGCCCCGCGGTGCGATCGATCGCTCAATCTAGCCCGAAATATCGAAGATCCATGGCCAGCGGCGGCAGGAATCTGCATGTCTCGCCCCGGCTCGCGTCGGATGCGCTGCCGCTGCCCGTGAGTGTGACCAACAAGCTCTTCTTGATCCTTTTCTTCTCGGCGTCCTACTACCTGATGCGGCGATGGAGGGAAAAGATCCGGACCTCGACTCCATTGTACATGCTGACGCTGGAGGAGCAGCTAGCGGTGATCACCCAGATCGCCTCCTTCATCTATCTCATCGGCTTCTTCGGCATTGAGTATGTCCAGAGCGTCATCAACAAGAACGCTGATGAGGACGAGCGGCCCGCCGCCCAGCACGAGATCGCCAGCAAGAGACCGCCCGCGGAGCTCCTGGGGAAGCCACTGCCGGACAACAACGACGAGGATCTGGCACAGGCAGTGAGCTCCGGAAGGGTCGCGTCCTACTCGCTGGAGACCGAGCTGGGCGATGAGCTGAGGGCCGCGTCGGTGAGGAAGAGGGCGATCGAGCTCAGCACTGGGCGGTCTCTGGAGGAGCTGCCTTTGCACGGGATGGACTACAAGAGCATTGTGGGACAATGCTGCGAGATGGTGGTGGGCTACGTCCAGATCCCTGTGGGTGTGGCCGGTCCCTTGCTGCTGGATGGTTTGGAGTACACTGTGCCGATGGCTACCACGGAGGGATGCTTGGTGGCGAGCACCAACCGTGGTTGCAAGGCGATTCATCAGTCCGGCGGTGCCGTGAGCGAGATTTTGAAAGACGGGATCACTCGGGCTCCCGTCGTGAGCTTCTCGTCTCTCAAAGGTGCTGCCGAGCTCAAGTTTTACCTCGAGGATACTAACAACTTCGACACTATTTCGACCGTTTTTAACAGGTGAGTTGAAAGGTAGAATGGTTTTGGAGCATTCCTGTATTCCTGCTGCTGAGCTGATGGCTATTCTTTTTTGATCGCAGGACGAGTAGATTCGCCAGGTTGCAAAGTGTTAAATGCTTGCTGGCTGGTCGAAACGCATACATTAGATTCTGTTGCTCCACTGGTGACGCAATGGGGATGAACATGATCTCCAAGGGGGTCCAAAACGTTTTGGACTATCTTCACGATGTATTCCCCGACATGTGTGTTATCAGCGTCTCTGGTAAATTTCCTTGAAGATTTCTTGTCCTTTGGTCTGAGTTGCAAACTTGTCTTCCCAGGGAACTTATGCGCTGACAAGAAGGCAACATCAGTGAACTGGATCGAGGGGCGAGGGAAGTCCGTCGTCTGCGAAGCGGTGATAAAGGGCGACGTGGTCTCCAAGGTCTTGAAGACATCGGTGTCCGCCCTGGTGGAGCTCAACACGCTCAAGAACCTGGCCGGATCGGCTCTCGCGGGTGCCGTTGGTGGATTCAACGCTCACGCCTCCAACATCGTCTCGGCCGTGTTCATCGCCACTGGCCAGGATCCGGCACAGAACGTCGAGAGCTCGCAGTGCTTGACGCTCATGGAGGCAACCAACTGTGGCAAGGATCTCTACGTGTCGGTGACAATGCCATCGGTGGAGGTACGCTGAAGTTTCAAAAGTTTCCCTGTTTGTTTATCTCTCTGGTGGTGCTTTGGTCTAACCAAGCTTTTTCTTTCTCTTGCTTTTTGCTTGCACAGGTTGGAACGATCGGTGGTGGCACGCAGCTCGCGTCGCAGAGCGCCTGTCTCAATCTGCTTGGAATCAAAGGCTCCAATCCCGACTCGCCGGGATTGAATGCGCAGACACTCGCCAGAGTTGTGGCTGGCGCCGTGCTCGCTGGTGAATTGTCGCTCATGTCTGCCTTGGCAGCCGGGCAGCTGGTCAAGAGCCACATGAAGTACAATCGATCCAGCAAGAACATCGCTGCCGCTGGCGAGCAGCAGCAGCAGAGCTTGGACGGATTGAGGCAGCGATGTTCGTCGTCGTGAAGTAAATACAGTTCCCTTGCCCTCGAAGAACAAAATAAAAACCAGAGAGATTTTTTTTTAAAGAAAAAAGCCATGGTTTTTGTTTGGTAGTATTATATAATATCTCGCCTAGAATTCGTGTAATATATTAAAACTACTGTTTGGAGTTTTCGTGCTTATTTGGAATTTGGTTTGCGTTCGTTTAGCGTTCAAAGATGAGCCTCGTTGAGGTAAGCAAAGACTTTGAATGGCAATTAAAGAATAATTTTGCGGCTGGCAACGCATGGTTGTATTCCAGAACACTTCTACTTATTGGTTCTTTCAACAGTGGTTGTATTCTAGAACACTTCTACTTATTAGTTCTCTCAAGAGCTCCAAGAGAGAAGAAAAAATGGAGAGAGGCTTGAATTTTTCTGAGAAGTATAGAGAGAATGACCGGTTCGTGGTCTATCGCACTATCCCTGCTGAATTTAAGAGTTTAGTCCAAGAATTGACTGGCATGAACAGCACAGCTTCTTCCAAAAATCCTGGAAGGGCAAATGTGATGGGAGCGACAAACTGTCAGGATAAATCTGAAAAGTTAATAGTAGAAGATGGATATAGTCTTGGAAGTATAGTCACAAAAGCTATACAATAATGCAATATCAAGCACAAATGTCCTTTTGATCATTTTAGATAATAATATAGATCTTTATCTATTTAGAAACAAATATCTTAACCTTGCAAGAGAGGCAATGTATGAATAAAAATATATTAATTTGAACATTGAAAGAAGTACAAAGATTTATGGCTAAGAATAATTATATAAAGAAAAATATAAATAATAACATAATTTTAGTTTTTTGGTTTGCTTAGGGATGGTAATGGATATACCTAGAATATTCTTGGATATTCTAGAATATTCTACTATCTAACGGTTGTTATTCATTTAGATTAATCTTGTATTTATAAATTATAAACTTTTTAAAACACTTTCTAGTATATTCATTAATCAACTTGTTACAAAACATTTATTTGTAATATAGTAATTATATTTCTTTAATAATTACCTCCTGTATAAATGCAATGTCCTTTTGATATTGATCTTTATGCTACAAAAGTATAAACCATGCTAAATTAATTAAATAATCAAAATTAAATCAGGGCATTGCCTGAAGTATTTGTGCAAATCAAAGTTACATTGCTCCTTTCTGTTATAAATTTGATAGCTACAACAGTCCTACAAAAATATTGCATATGCAAATTATTCACTCCACTTGGACATATGACAGTCAATTTATTGCCTAGCATATTTAAACAAATCTCCTTTTCCAAATCCGCTTTACAACATGCTCAACCAGCTCTTTACTGGAAATGGGACAACATCTATAATTATTGCATTTGGTATGCAACGCTCCTGTGCAGAAGGTTGAGCAATTCGAATTTTGCAAGTGCTGTCTACAAAAAAGACTACCAAAACAATCAAAATCAGTTAAAAACTCACCTTAACATCAGCCATGAAAGTTTGATCCTTTTGAAGATTTTGAAGATGCACCGACACCCTCACAAAAGCAGAACTACGTGGTCCCAGATAGTGCTCTAAAGAGAAACAAACAACAAATATCAGAATCGAGAGCCACATAGAAACAGCTCACATAAAAAGATGCGCATGGATGCGTGGGTAGCCCAAATACAGGACTGATGTTTCCCACAGAGGTCCTTATTTTCCTTGTTCACCAACACGAAATGAGCACAAGGAAACCACTCAAAAGCATGATACCTACCAAGTCGACATTTGCAGTTCCAACAGCTTGGGTAGAACTTGGACCAGCTTGGTGCGTGGTGTCGTTGGGACCAATCTGTAAGGGAGTTAAATTAGTCATTACAGAAAACAATGAGATTTACTTGGACAAACCTCCAGAAGGCTGTAGTGACAATTAACACTAGAACATGAAGAGGCTCAAGTCCTTAGGTAACAATAATTTTTCTGTGCTCACTCATCTTTGTGTTTATGGAATTCCACTCCACATTTTCAGTGCACTGAACAAAGAGGAACTAGGTTCTACATTATCTCCATTGTGCCCCGAAAATCTACTATTATATCGCATTCAACAGCATGGACACCAAACATGTCCCAGAGATCATTGTCAAAGATTGTGGTAGCAAGGACTTTAGCGAAAAGCTTGCCGCTCATCAAGTCACGTAGAGAATCTTGGACAAAGAAGAGCCCGACCTTCCTGTTGACCCCAATGCCCTGGAGGTCCACCACCACGCACTTTCTAAACCCCACCGTGTCCACAGCATCCAGCTCCTTGACGGGATCCTCTCCGTTGTCAGAAGGCGCCTTGATCAACTTCCTGACCGACAATGCCATCAGCATGCCCCTGTAGTCCTCGTAGCTGACAATCCACTCGAGCGCATTGTACTTCAATGCCTTGGTAGGCACTGTGAGAGGATGTTGCCAGTTGAAACCTGCTTCCGCCAGATCGTAGTATCCTTGTAATTCTCAGAAATACTTTGAGAAACCTCGTCTTGCACATGTTTGTCGATTACAAACGCAGGAGGCATGGGAATCAGGCCGAGCTCGAATGAAGAGACGCACCTGACGGCTTCGATACTCCTGATCTGGCATGCCTTCAGCGGCTCCATCGAGGACGCCATCTCTGGGTCATACAAGTAGGCAGGCAAGCTCCAGGGCGTCGGCCAGGTGCGCGGGATCTTCATGCTGGCGACGCAGGCCGGGGCAGTCTCAGTGAGCGTCTCGAATGTACTCGTTGAGCAATTCTAGGGGGCTAGCCGCGCGCAGTGAACTCATTGTCGTAGCAGATATCGGAGAAGAGAAACAGGGAGGTCGTGCTGCTGTCGCAGACGAGCTGGAGAGGAGGAGCAGGAGTTCGTGTGAGTGTGCTGCATGCGCAAGCGGATCGACCAATAGCTGCAATAGCCTGATGTCAGCCGGGCTCTCGTGTATCCTCTACCACAACCAAGGGTTTAGGTAAGTTCAGACACGTAAAAGGAAGAATTCAGAATGGTGGTGCATAAGTACCTGCATGGTTGCATCGGACACTTCCTCCTCAATTCCACTAACCAGGGGTGACGCGCTAGAGCTCATGGTAATCGTGGTGATCACCACTACGTTTCCTGCACTGGACGACCGTTTTTAAGTCTATTTTTCTTTGCACTTTTTGCAATACCTCGTCTGGTGGGAGTGAGTTCTCCGAGTAAAGTAGGCTTACGAAATGCACCTGATGAAGCAAAGCCAGCGAGTTAAACAAATCAAACCATGGTTTCTTCCTTCGGGAGAAACGTCTTTGAATTATGATGGGATCCACAGGCTCAGATCCCTCTTGGCACTCTGGTGTCTTCCACTCCAGGCCGCGGGTGACCCGAGGAGTCGTTTGTGGATTGAAAGTTGGGGCTCTTGAGCTATAATCCACGTGAGCATCGTGCTGGTAAGTTGGTTTGAAGTTGATTGTATTATAAGTTCTGATCTCAGGGTCTAGAAATGCTCAACTTTGCTTGGTATTGGACAGTTTTAAGTGCTCATTGAGCTATAGTACATGGTTATGATGGTTGGCAAATAAGGTGGCCACATTGAAGATGAGGGACCGTGGGGTGAACAATGGATTGCATTCATGTGTCTTATGCTTCTTAGATAAACTATATTAAGCCTTCAATCTATGGCTTCATGCTGCACTCCACTATTGCTCACTCCTCCTGCAATTCAAACAGCTAATGTCATTTGTCGCTTTCTTCATTCGGGCAACAACGATCATCAGTGCGGATTTACTCCTGCTTCAATCGATTCGATTCATTGCCGGGACGATCGAGAATCCACCAGTATTTCGAAAGCCATCTCCTTCAAGGCATCTGGTTTCTCCTGCAAGCATAAAGTGTGTCAAGTACCTCCGTCATCATTCAATTCTTTTGAAAAGCAATGCTGGTGTTTCGGCCAAACTGGTGTTTCGGCCAAAATTGAAAACCCTCTGTCAAAGTTGAGTACGCCGGTCTATGGACTGACCAAATGGGCATACCTTGAAGTGCTTTCTTTGACAATAATATAGAAAGTATCTGACCTTTCTTCTTGGGGAACTTGCGAAAGCTCGTCTTCCAGCTTTTGTGAGTGAGAAGATCTTCTTATTCTTCCTCTGGAGTTGAGCCTACATGAAAGACCAACCAAGAGACTAAGTTTCTAACAATGAAAAGAAATGCAATAAGAAAATGCACCTGTCTTTCACGTTGAAACCACATAATCACCTTCTCATCTCGCCCATTCTCTCACGACAATCAACGAAACTCGAGGACCACTTGTAAGAATGACCGCAAAGTTCTTATACCTAAACTTGGACGGCATGGTGGTGTGGCGGCGACTGTGTCCAGGTGAGTGACGGTAAACGAGAGCCCGGCTGACATCAGGCTCACGTGCGCTGCAGCTATTGTCGATCCGCTCGCACATGCAGCACACTTGCACGAACCCCTGCTCCTCCTCTCCAGCTCCTCTACGACAACACGACCTCCCTGCTTCTCTTCTCCGATCTCTGCTACGGCAGTGAGTTCATGGCTCGAGAATCGCTCAACCAGTACATGACCAGCGCTCACTTCGACATCTGCGTCGCCGGCACGCAGATGCCGCCTACTGGCCGACACCCTGGAGCCTGCCTGCCTGCTTTTATCTATTCCCACGGACTCTCCCTGCCTCGTCCCCAATAAGTGTTTTCATTGAGATGCCACCCTCGATGGAGCCGCTGAAGGCATGCCAGATCAGGAGCATTGAAACTTTCGAGTGCATCTCATCGTTCGAGCTCGGCCTGATTTCCATTCCTACGATCTGGCAGAACCGGGTTTCAACCAGCAACATCCTTCTCGGGGCGCCAACCAAGGCTTTCCAAGTACAACGCACTTGAGTGGATTCTCAAGGATTACCAAGGCATGCCGATGGTACTATCGGTCAGGAAGTTCATCAAGGGGTGTTGATGGAATGGGAAAAGCTACTGTTGAATGCTTGTTGTATATTGTCTTATATACTTGTTCATAATCTCTTCTAGATTCCTGCTGCAGATTCCTATGTCCTTGACACCTTGATTTCTGCTCTAACACTCCCCCTCGATCTAATCCATCCTAGAGATCCGATCGTATCACTTACTCCCCCTAGGTTGGTACGGTCCTAGCTTGTGGTGAACTGTTGTGTCCAGAGTTGC